TTTTTTTTTTTTTTTTTTTTCATTCGTACTTTTTAAATTTTTGAACTTGCAAATGTAGTTTTCTTTGAGTTACCAAATATTTCATTCTATTGTTTCTCGCTTATCTAGGAGCAGCACCTTTGGCAAACGGACTGGTGAGATGGCATGTTTGACAAAGAAGAAATCATTTTAAAAAAATTTCAAACAAACACCAAGTATTCATTATGTATACGAAGAGAAGAAAAAGGAAGGAAAGAAAAACGTTAGGAATACAAAGAAAAGATGGGAAGGGAAGGGACGAATACAAGAAAGGAAGAGGAGTGGAAATGGGATCAAACGGAGAGGATCTTGAGGAGAGGAGCAGTATGAAGAGAGAAGAAAAAACGAGTTTTAAACTTTGATATCAAAAGCTTTTGCAAAGTCTAAGAAGATACCACAGGTTATTTCTTTTTTAGGTATTACCCTTCAACCTTTAATACTTGTTTAGCTTATTTCATTACTTTCGTGCTAATTTTCGAAGCTTAGATATAGTCAAATTTAAGTCATTTTGAATTTTAGGCCTTATCATTTAACTATTAACCACGGATAAACGATGGTTGCACACGAAGAGATTTTGCACGATTCGGTTACTTCCATATCTCAGAAAACTTCCTACCAAGCGTCTTTACTAGAACTACACCACTTTTGGAGAACGACCAAAACCATTTTGACCATTTTAGCTTTTCGCTAAATCCATTGATGCACATGAAATATTTGTGCCTTCAAGTAACAGACACAAAATAATAAAATAACAACAATTGGTAATTTTCCAAACTAGAAAATATATTTTAAAATTGACGAAAGTTTTAAGGAAATTAAGTTTAACGTGTATGAGAAACACAGCGTTGAATTTTATAAAACACTCGTCGTTTTCTTGGCAACAGTACATTTGCAATTTGGTGAGCAAATGGTTGGTGTTTTTGTGCTTCCCATATAATGACTTACCCACCAAATTTAAAGGGTGGTCAAAAAAATTCATTTTCCACCTTGCTCGACTTTAACAGAGACCTGCTCTTAAATGCTTTGAATGCGCCACAGAACCAGCGTTATTACAAATTTTCTCATTTTGATTATCGCTTTTAGATGAGGCGCGAGGAAGATTGGTAACTGGCCGGTAACATTTAATATGCACCCTCGGTGTATATTTGCTTTTATTGGTTATCCAAGTATTATTGCATATTCTTGTTGTGCTTGCACACGATATTGACTGACATTTTACGTTATAATCATGTCATGCATAAGTTTATATTTTTAACTTAATGGTTTTAACTCTTACACTTGTATCCTGGACTGTTGTATACCGATAGCTATTCGTATTCATTCATCTTCCTGAAAGCTAGAATCCTTTTAAATATGGCTCCCCTCTTGGAACCCTCAAGTATCCAGTAAAATAAAAGAAGATTATTGTTACAAAGTCATTTATACAATCAAAGAAAAAGCATATATGTATGCTTGCATATTTTCTCTCTCTTAAGGTGATGCCGCCAACCGGTTAGCACAGTTAAAAAGAGCATCGGTCTGTTGTGCGGGAGGTCGTGATTCAAGCCTCGGCCGGACGAACACTCAGGGTCTTAAAATAACTGAGGAGAAGGTGCTGCCTTTGTAATTCTCGGACAAGGACTTAAAACCGTAGGCACTGTCTCCCAACCCTTCCTAACCTACAGTAAAATGGGCGACACAAAAGAACCTGTTGCAATATTCGTATAAGAGTAGTCTGTGATTGTCACCCGGTTCAAAAGACTATCCCAATTTGGGGGCAATACACTAATCTACTAACAAATCACTCATGATTGTAAGCTGCACGGCTGCTAATAGCGCCTTAACATGCACAAGGGCGGATCCAGCCTAAATTTTAGGAGGGGGGGGGGGGNGGGGGGGGGGGGCTAATTCAGTTTAAGGGGGCGTAACTCTCTTGAATGCAAATTATAGCAAGGATCACCAGCAGTAGCCCAAAAGTTCTCATATTACTGCAGCTATATCAAATTCAGATGAACATTGGAGTTCTGTAGAAAATAACACGCGTAAACGTCACGTAAATATGCCCCCCTAACGTGACTCAGACAAGTGAGTGGTGATAACTAGTAGAGTACTACCGTGACTCAATTTATCCACGAGTTCCTACTGTTTGACTCAGACAAGTGTCACATACATTCTCTATAAATGACAGGCTGTTTCCCTTCAACCTTTGCTCATAAATAGCGAAATTGTTGATCTGATGTCGCTGATTAAGAGCAGCCTCTGTAAAAGCAGCATACTGCATCTCGGGTCAAAAACCAGTTTTCCTTCAAACTTTCACCACAAAAAGGTATTGACTATAGTAACTAAGGAATAAACTAATAGAGGAGGCTCAAGGACTTAAAAGGGTCGAAACAACTATTTGAAGAAAAACTTAGTGAGATAGAAAATGCACTATTAAAGAAGGGTGATAAAGCGTCGGTTAAAAAGATAAGAAGAGCTGCTAAGAGCCGTGCTGAATCATAGATTGAAGAAAATCGCGTTATACGAAGGAAGCTTAGTGCAGAAAGATCATCTGAAATGGAAGAAGATGAAGAACAGCTTTTCCTTAAATTCAAGAAAGGGCATAGAGGACATATCAACGTCAGAGGAAGAAGGCATGGAACCGTAATGTTCTTACATCACCGACTCCAAACGCATGCCGACGATTGGGAATCGCAGAAAATATACCAAAGGCAAAAAGAGGCAATTTCCTTGTTTTGCCCTTACAAATTTTTTTGCGCATAGAAGAAAAAGCATGAAATTCAAACAGTTTAGCCATTTTCCTTTTATATACTAAAAAATTCTATAAAAAATTCTATCCAAAACTTTTTTCACAAAACATACTGTTTCCCTCGTTCCCATGCAATAAGTGTTAATTGTAGCTTGCTTAAATTGGTAAAAAAAAAGTTTAAAAAGTTTCATTAACAAAATTCTAAACTAAGCAAACTAGATAGAATTAAATACAGAACATACAGAGAAATATATTATTTTGTAAATGTTGTTGTAAAGAGTTCAGTTTCAATGTAAGCATATTAAGCATAATTTTTTGCAAGTAGTATTTAATATTGCATATTAACATATACCAACTTGTGTACTTCCTAAGAACGCGCGCGCTCATTGGTTAAATGGAGGTGAATATTGTACGATATTCACCTCTGAATCTCGGAATATTGAGTTGGCAACAAAATGGGGTCTGTCGGCAATCGTTTTGCTACAATTTCCGATGAGGAAATTGAAAACATGAAAGTAAATGCCATTTCTATCGATATTAAAAAGGTAACGAAGTATGGCCTAAACGTTTTGCTAAAAGTTTTGCTAAAAGCTTTGCGTGAATTTGTCACGCAAACTAAAAGTTTCTGTTTGTTTGTTTTTATTGAATTATTGTATATAAAAATTAGTTACTCAGTACACAAGTTGGTATATGCTAAAACAGGTATTCGCCACAGGCTCCGTGAATATGGAGAATATTTCCCGATATTCACTTCGCCTTCGGCGAATAATTGCTAAATAGAACCAGTCAATGAAATTCAATAAACAACCAAACAGATAGAACGTAAGTAGTATGAAGGTGCTGGTTCTGCACCACGGGCCCCGTCGGGCTACCCCGGGCCCGTAGGGGGAGGGGGGTTCTACGTGGATTCATAGCATTCGATTAGATCCGGATTTTCCACTCGGTCGCCTTCGGATCTTAGATTTCGGATTCATAGGGGTGGTGAGCCATATCTATTTTTAGTTTGCTGGATTGCACCATTCCAACGCAATCGGGATGACGTCACCTATATTTTTAAAGGTTGGAGTGATTTTGAGGCTCCAGTCTACCTATTCTAAAGTTAGAGTCTTGGTTAGACGCGACTGACTTTCAATCTCACTCTCGTCCGTGTCTCCTCCTCACTAAAGGTCTTGGAGTCTAAAATGGTTTTCTTTGTTTTAAACGGTACTGCTGAGTCAGCTAACGCTCTGATGTCCTTAGCATGAGGTCCTAGTGCTTCTTTTTGAGAGTAGGAAAGTGGAATGCCTCCTTTCAATAGATTATGGAAGACCTCAGAGAGTACATGGACTTGTTCGGAAGTGGCTGTTGCAAGCAAAACTTTCCTCTGAGGCTCTGGGCATTTAGTCAAAAGATGCAAATAGCCAAAGTTATCACGAAGTAAGACAGACATGTTTTCTCTCGGGATGGTTTGTTCAAATGAAGTGATAACGGAAAGAACCATCGTATTTATTATACAACCGGCTACCTACTATCTACACTAGATTMTACACTAGATTCTACACTAGATTCTACATGACTAGATTCTACATAACTAGATTCTACACTAGATTCTACACTAGAATCTACTATCTACACTAGATTTACTATCTAACTAGAATCTACACTAGAATCTACGCTAGAATCTACTATCTACACTAGATCTACTATCTAAACTAGAATCTACACTAGAATCTACACTAGAGCCTAAACTAGATTCTACACTAGAATCTACACTAGAACCTACACTAGAATTTAAAATAGAATCTACACTAAATTCTACACTAGAATCTACACTAGATCTACTATCTGCACTAGAATCTTATGAAGCCCTAGAATTCCGGCGCTTGCCAACTGGATTCGTATAAATAGCGCTCCCTATAGGAATTCGCCTCATTCTTCGAAACATGCACGATGACACGGTCCTGTCCTATTTGCGAGAAGCAGCAATAKAATTTATATACTCATTTAAGTCGAACTCATAGGTTGGACAATTCGCAACAAAAGTATCAATCGGTCAAGAACAAATGCGAAAAAGCAGTCATCGGTACACTCCGCACCCATTGCCGCAAAATGTTGAAGATCACAAGAAATGTGACAGGTTTCAGTTACTCCATCCCTTCACGGAACCGGAAAAACGGTTTGGGGTCAGAATTTACTTGAAAATGCAACACAAGTGATCAGTCCTCCGCAACAGCGCATTGTATGGAGGTATGCTCAGTGGCAATCTGCTTACGGCCACATGATGAAAACCATTCCCGGGATCGAGTTCGTAAAAGGCATGCCGCACGACCTGAATGAAGATTATTTTAACCCTAAGATCAACAATTTGATTGTGATTGACGACCAAATGACAGAGACGTCCAATGATAAGAGAATCAGGAACTTATTCATCAAAGGATCTCATCATCGAAACCTGAGTGTCATTTTTCTTATGCAGAATCTTTACTTTCAAGGAAAAATTATGCGCACCTTGAGTCTGAATGCCGCGTACCTCGTTCTTTTTAAAAACCCGAGAGATAAATTACGAATGATGACTTTGGGAAAGCAGATGTATCCAGGCAAGACTGAACAGTTCATTCAAAAGTACAAGGCCGCTGTAAAACGCCCTTATGGATATCTTTTCGTGGATCTGAAGCCAAACACACCAGAAGAATGCAGACTCAGAACTAATGTTCCACCCCAATGATCAGACTGCTTTCCAGCCGAATCCTACAACAACATTATCACAGTATGGTGGAGAGTATGATGCCACTATCACATCCATGTCTAACTATTTCGAACGTCAAAGTTATTTACAACCACCCATACTCAAAACAATACAGAATTTAAAGGAACAGATGGAAAACATTCTTATGAAACCTGAAATAAAAGCTGCACGGTGATTGGTCAGATCGAACGCCCGCGAACGGTTCTCTAAATATGTAACCCGTCTTGTGATTGGCCAAACAATGAGAAAGGAATGTAGTTCGAATGCAAGCAGCCGTTTGTGGGGAGGGTGCGATGCGTGACGACCGACACTTAAAACGGATGCGAGGGAGACTAAGAACAATTGAGAGCAATCGCGAAGTCCTTGCCCAAGTTGGAAAATTTCTAAGCAGTTGTAACCGTGTTCAAAAGTATAAACTAAACAGTAAACCAATGAAGTTATATATGCAAAATAAAGAAACTTGAGTGAAAAAAACTTGTGGTCAATATTTCCTGCATTCAGCGAACCTCGACAATATGTTACACATAATATGATGGACAATAAAGCAAGTTTTAACAAATTCACGTCTGATGATAATCATTGTCTGCATGATCTTCTACCCGACCAGAGAATTCGCACACTGCGAAATAGAGGCCATAATTTACGATTTTAAATCGAAATAAATATAATGTAATTAAATTTCTCATGATGCATGACGTTTATTCATTATATTTGCATATATCGCAGCGACAGTTACACTGAGGCGAATCCGACTGGCAATCACGCACATCAAAAGATCAAGCGAAAACTAGAAAAACCGAACTAACTATCAATCTGTAGACATACAATAAACTAGGAATAACAATCGAAATGTCACGCAAATTGAATACGATGAGAGAAAAAATTCCCTCATCCTGCATTGAATAATAATTATGATGTCACCCTCTATCAATTTTAAAATAAAAGATGATCTCAAAACCACTATGAATCCGAAATCCAAGATCCGGAGGCGACCGAGTGGAAAATCTGGATCTAATAGAATGTTAGCTATGAATCCGCGTAGAACACCCCCTCCCCCTACTGGCCCGGGGTGGCCCGACGGGGCCCGTGGTGCAGAACCGGCACTTTCATACTACTTACGTACAGAGTACAAGCGTCAGACTAGCTAGCTTTACCAGTCTTTACCATAATCTTCTCTACAACTTGTCTTGCTAACTGCTGCTGGCTCTTACTAACTGACTCACTGACTCTGATCTCTTGTCCACAAGCCCTGACCAGAACACACGCACTGATAACACACAAGCACTTTTACTCACCACTCATCCGAATTTCCTTAATATTATCCGAACAACTTAATTACATAATAGTTTTACATATAACCAACTTGGTTTTAAAATTTAAAACTCTGATCACAAAAAAATGAGTATAAATTTTTTTAACGGTTTATAGCCCTATGAAAAGAATAGAAAATTGCCTCACTATCCTTGTGGTGCTATTTAAATAAGACTATAAACCGTTGAAACATATACAATTTATACTCAATTTTCTGCTATCAGAGTTTTAGATTCTAAGATATTCTAGCTAATTTGTTGCTCTTGGGGGACATAGCAACGGTAACTAAAGGGAGTTGGAACCATAAATAGAACTTTTAGTTGTAAGTATTTAATTGCTGAGTGCAAAGCTCCTTTTGTTTTGGACTTGAAATTCGTTTCCTATATAATCAATAGAAGTCAAACTTTTTTTTTTAAAATCTACATAAACCTCTGGAAACTTCTCAAACATGTCAGTGTGAACTTTCTGACACACAATCAATATATTTACTAATTATACCTGATCACAGTGTCAGACAGTAGTCATTGTTGATTTACCTTCTGCCTTGGCTACAGCGGTCACTATATTTCCCTAAAAAGCCTTATCTTGGATAACAACCTGAATGATCGATGGCGCACCTTCAACTGTTACTGTGTATTGTGTTCTTGTTGGTTAAGGGTGAGTCTAGAACATGATCAAACATTATTTATTTAGTGCATTTCTTTAATAATTTGGGCACAACAAATCATTTAATTTATCAAAGTCGAAAGCAATGTAGGACGAAAATGTAGCGGCATAAAACATTTCTGCAGATTTTGATACCAAATGTAGAATGAAATGCACTTTCCATTAGTGCTCAAAAATGGTCGCACTTGTTATGTTTAAGTATATAAGAGTTAATTACCCATAACCGAGGCAATTAAGTCATATAAAGCCCAAGTACCGTGGTCAGGGCCGTGAGCCCTAAGGCTTTATATGGCTTATTTGTCTCGGTTCTCGGTAATTAACTGATTTATTATATGTCAACTGAGAAGGTTTTCACACAAAAATAACCCCAAAGGACTATTCGATAGTCGTTCCTTAATTTGCCTTAGAGAAAGTTAAAGAAATGTTGTTTTTTTAATCAGTTATTGTAACTTTAAAGTGCAACTAAAGCCTGAGCGAGACAATGGTACTTTCAGTATGAATTCTATATATGAACCTACATGAACAAAGTACAACGTATTCCAATATTGATTAAAAGCATTAACAACAGTTGCTTTAGATTTAACGTAAAAATGAAAACATGAACAATAAAAGCACGCTCCTTTTTGTCACAGCAGCAACTAGTCCAAACTCAATTTATTTTTAGTTATAAACGATACCATTAGATATTTTAACGATCACATATTTCATATCAGTATACAATTGCTACTTACATATTTAGCCGCTATTAATGATTTTAAAACTGAAACATCATTTAAACTATGATGTTTCTTCAATTATACAGTTAAAGGAAATAAAAATGACATTGCTGTTCGTCTGATGGATGGTAAGACTCCTAACAAAGGACGTGTAGAAGTAAGATACAAAGGTACTTGGGGAACCATATGCAATGAAGAGTGGGACATATGGGATGCTTACGTGGTGTGTCACATGTTGAATTACTCCAAGGCAGTTACAGCAACAACTGCTAGCGTCAAAGGAACTGCTCATATATGGCTTAAAGAGCTTGATTGTTTTGGATCCCAAGAGTCTATTGATCAGTGTAGGTATGTTGGTTGGGGTAACACTGGTGGCTGTAATCACAGCCGTGATGCTGGAGTGGTATGCGGCAATGCAATACACGTCAATGTTCGTCTAGTGAATGGTAAAACTCCTAACGAGGGACGTGTAGAAGTAAGATACAACGACACTTGGGGTACCATATGCAATGATGGTTACTGGGACATACAAGATGCATACGTGGTGTGTCACATGTTGAATTACTCCAAGGCAGTTACAGCAACAACTGCTAGCATCAAAGGAACTGGTCCAATATGGCTTAACGGACTTGGTTGCTTGGGATACGAAGAATCTATTGATCAGTGTCGTCATGCTGGCTGGGGTAACACTAGTGGATGTGATCACAGCCGTGATGCTGGAGTGATATGTGGCAATCTAACATCAGGTACAACTAAATAAAGTTACAAAATAAGACATAAATATCATCTAGGTTTTACAAATATCACTACTCGGATTATCGGAAATTAAATGCTATGAAACATTTTTATCATGTATCAAAAAAAATATGCTTTCTATTCAACTTCAGGAAACATAGCCAAGTTTTTTTACGGCGGGGAGGGGGGACTGCAGCCCCTCTTTGCCCTAAAGTAGCTATTTATATATAAAGTGTATGAGAGTAAACATGTGTATCTTTACCCCCTTTACATCAAAAAAAAAACAAAAAACAAAAACAAAACAAAACAAGTAAGGCCTATGATTAGAACGTTATTTATTTATTGAACACTATTTCTTCCAGAGGAGACAGCAATAGAAGTTCGTCTGGTGGGAGATCAAAACCATACCGGCAAAGTAGAAATCAAGTACAACGGAACTTGGGGAGTAGTGTGTGATTGGTCTAGATGGTGGGATATACGAGATGCTCACGTGATCTGCAGAATGCTTGGTTACAAAGCTGCTGAACACGCAATTCGGTTCATTGAAGGAGAGACACCAACAAGAATGCTCATGTATAGTGTCGCTTGCAATGGTAGAGAAAAGTCGATTGCAGAGTGTTATCACTTGGGATGGTGGAGTATTCATTCATGGTGTTCGAATAAAGATCTTGTTGGTGTGGTTTGTCAGACAAATGAAGGTAACAAAGACAATAATTTACTTTACTCTAATCCTTTAAATATAATATCATCAAATCCAATCATCTTATTAGTTTATTTGTTGATAAGAGATGATAAGACAATAGCTTTAGTGAAATCTCTACTTATTCTCTTCCAAATGTGTGATGTTGGTACAAATCAACAGATCCTCCACCAGTTCAAGTTCGTTTAGCTGGAGGAAGGTCAGCCATTTCTGGTCGACTTGAGGTCAGTTACCATGGTCAGTGGGGTACTGTATGTAATGTTGGATGGGACATGAAAGATGCTGAGGTGGTGTGTCGTATGCTTGGTTATCCTGGAGTACAGGAATACAATACTACCAACTTTACGCACGTCAAGGGTATAATATGGCTGATGTTTGTTGGTTGCACAGGAAGAGAAGCATCGATAGCAGACTGCAGCCACATTGGATGGGGAAATACAATTTGTTATCATAGCCAAGACGTTGGTGTCACGTGTAAAATGGGTACGTTATGTATATCATAAATATTATTCTCATGCTCATTAATAATTCATAAGAAAACCAGTCAATCAATGGGCTATTTTTTGGGTCACATGATGTTACTTGAAACCTGGTAAAGTCCTGTGAAAGGAATGCATTCAGTCTGGAGTAACTGCAACAAAATTAATTCAGTCCTAGGACTGAATTTATTTTGTTCCAGTTACTCCAAGTCGAATAATTAATGACCATGATTAATAATTAATAATATTAATTAATGACCACGATTAATAATTAATAATAATAATTAATGACCATGATTAACAATTAATAATAATAATTAATGACCATCGGAATGGACGGGATTTCAAGTCCGCGTAATTAGTTCCAGTCCTCGGCTTCACCTCGGACTAGAACTAATTGCTTAGACTTGAAATCCCATTCATTCCTCATTGTCGGCTTTGAAATATTACTTGTAACTATTTTATTGTACAATATTGTAGGTGTCTCAAACCTTTTCTGTTATTGTTTATTATCACTCCCTGAAATAGTGCGCACTGTTTTATTCCTAGTAAAATAATATACTTTGAATTCATGACATTGCTTCTTGATAAAATATATAAATTTACAAGGATAGAAAAGATGTTTTTTTTTTAAAAAGTTTTTAAATAAAACGTTTTCGACTGTGAAAGTCATCTTCAGTATGATGTTAATTTGAATATACAACAGTTTAAGTAGTTTATTAAATCTCAGAGGGATAAAGGCTGGCGATAAAACATTGATGCAACAGTGATGTAAAACAGATCGCTAAAACATTTCTAAAAGCTGGATATCGATCCGAAAAGTTTCATTCAATCCACCATCGACTGCTTTCTACAGAACAAGGCGAGGAAGGAAAGATAATTCCAGAATATCTTTTTGATGAAAGGAAGAAAGTGTTCATTAAACTTCCCTATTGTACAGACTACGAACACCTTAGCCGACGTTTCTTAAAGAAACTTAACCAGTTTACTGACGGAAAGTTTATGTTCATTATTCTCTGGTAAACTAGGAAAATCAAGAGCCTCTTTAAACCAAGCCGGACTCCAACAAACATCAATCATCTGTTATCTATAAATCTGAATGTTCATGCGGAGAAATAACATTGGTGAGACAATGAGAAACTTTGATATTCGTAAGTCGGAACATGAGAATCTCTTACATATTTCACATTCAGCACGTCATATATCAAGTCATCCAGACCATTCGTACACATGGAACATTTGAAGTTGAAGGACTCTTGATTGCACTTGAACAGCCTAGCCTAAACAAACAAGTCCAATGTTTTATCGCCAGCCTTTATACGTCTGGGATTTCATGAGAAAAAACGGTTTGAAAAAACATCTTAATAAAAAGATTGATGAGGAGGTTGCGGCCCTCCTCTAAATCTGCATCTGTCCCTTTTAGTTCAACAGCGAACTAACTGTTTATGATAAATGGCTTTTTATGATAAGTATAGTAGTCTTGCTGACCTTTTTCAAAAAAATATATATAAGCATAAGTACAAGTTTGTTAAGCTTTTAAATTTTCGATCTGTTGTTGTGTTTTCCTAGCCTCGAGCTCTGCTCCTCGATTTATAGTAAGCGGGGAAACTCATGGATCACCATATACAACGGCAATGCTCGTCTTTAATTCGTCAACAACTGATAAAGAGAGAAACATTACAAAGTAAGTCATTTGGTCGAGTATCTCAGATCAGTAAAGACATTGATATATCCTTGGGGCGTATTTTAAAAACAAGCAATAGAAATATCAAGGTTTTTTGGGAGGGGACCTTGTTCCGAATATAACGTTTCCTGGAAGTGAAATGGAAATTTTCAGTCCAAATATTTATTTATTTAATTTGTTTGCACCAGCAGAGCTTTTCAAATTACTATCACAAAACTAGAAGTTTCAAGTCTTAACTGCTACAGATCATCCATCAAAGTTAACCATTCGTACGTGACAGCCGAGATCCTGGGTTCTAGCCTAGTTGGTAACTTTACGATTGGTGATGGTAACTATTACCATGGTTACTATAACGTACCGTTAGAGCCTGGGTCTACATATAGAGTCTTTGTAAGGACAGTTATCACTGCACATAATGGGGTAGGTAATTGAAATAAGCAGCACCAAACATGCGCTCGTACTTTTTTACTGTGGTGCGAATACGAGAGAAGGAAACGTAGGAACAGGAGGTCTATCGGATGAGTTTGCTGCTTCACTGGTGCTCCAGCTACTAGAGTACTTATGTCACTGTATAACAAAATAAGCGGTTGGTATAAGTTGCTTCTTTTTTTTGACGACTTCGCTCGAGCACGTGTTCGTTTTCTCATCATGATGTAAACGCAGTTGTCAGCCAATCCTTTATATCCATTATTGCTAAGTTCGCCTTTCATTAGTCTGTGCGTTTAGGTAAATGTTACATACCATAACCGAGTTGATGTTGTATATCAACCCGAGGCGAAGCCGATGGTATACATATTTAACTATTATCTCCCGAGGTATAAGGTATATAACCGCCTTCTGGCCTTATCATAACATCATTGGGGAAGAAACTTAAAACGGGGTTGATAACTAGAATATCAACCGGGACATTCATTTGTTTAATTAAGTTGGGTGAATATGAAGGAGAAAGACCGCCAGTGAACCAAATAAAACTGACTCAATGATGGTCATATAAATGATGATACTAATTTTATCCATTCAACTTACAGGGTAATAATTATGGAGAAGCTGCCAATGCTACTTTTACAACAAGAGTGAAAACATGCATAGGTAAGACACTTTGTGACCTATATACAATATTATTATTGTGAGTGATTGTTAAAAGCTACAGCACACGACTGGCTCACAGTACATTCTCAGCATCATTAAGGCATGGCTCTCAGATGAAAAACTGATTAGCTATATCATAGCCAGTTTTCTACGAATCTTCCCAAACTTGGCAAGTTAATGTCTTTTGTGAAAAAAAGGAACCTTAGAGCCTTGGTTACCATGGAAACTAAGTCACGTGACCACAAGGCCGCCATCTTGGATTTTTAAACAAGCCGTTTGTAAACGTACCGAAACATCTTTAAAAGTCATGAAAATGCAGATTACTATTCATATTTACAATGCCTATATGGATCTAATTGGATATCTT